GGCCTGGGGAGGGGGTGGGAGCGAAGTGGAGGAGGTCAATTGTGGGGGGGAAAGGGGACACCTGTAATATTCTCAACAATAAAGATAAATTAAAACACAAAACAAAACAAAACAATAAAATGGAGCCCGGCCAGGCATAGATCAGCAGTTGAGCATCGACCTAGGATCCAGGAGATCGAGTTTCGATCCCCGGTCAGGGCACATTCCCGGGTTGCAGGCTTGATCCCCAGCAGGGGGCATGCAGGAGGCAGCCAATCAATGACTCTCTCATCACTGATGTTTCTATCTCTCTCCCTCTCCCTTTTTCTCTCTGAAATCAATAAAGATATATTTAAAACAAACAAAATGAAAATGGAGGACTCCTGCCCTAGCCGGTTTGGCTCAGTGTTTAGAGCATCGGCTCGTGGACTGAAAGGTCCCAGGTTTGATTCCAGCCAAGGGCACATACCTCGGTTCCAGGCTTCATCCCGGCCCTGGTCCCAATATGAGCAGAAGGCAACCAGTCAATGTGTCTCTCACATCAACGTTTCTCTCTCTCCTCTCCCTCCCTTCCACTCTCTGAAAAGCAATGGAGAAAATATCCTCGTGTGAGAATTAAGGAAGAAAGAAAAAGAAAAGATAAGACAGAAAAGATAATGGAGGACTCCTTGTTCAAAAATCAGGTGAGCCCGGCCAGTGTGGCTAAGTGGTTGAGCATCAACCCATGAACCAAGAGGTCACCCATTCTATTCCCGGTCAGGGTGCATGCCCTGGTTGTAGACTTGATTCCTCAGTAGGAGGCGTGCAGGAGGCAGCCAATAGATGTTTCTCTCTATACCTCTCCCTTTCTCTCTAAAAATCAATAAAAACATATTTTTATAAAAAAACAGGTGAGAGGCGGGAAGTACAGTTAAAGTGCTAAAATATTGTTTTTTCCTTTAAAATGTGCCCGGCCAGGTGTGGCTCAGCAGTTGAGCGTTGACCTAGGATCCAGGCAATCGGGTTTCGAATTCCCGGTCAGGGCACATGCCCGGGTTGCGGGCTGCAGCTGATCAATGACTCTCCCATTGATGTTTCTCTCTCTCTCTCTCTCTCTCTCCTTCTCCTTTCCTCTCTCTGAAATCAATAAAGATATTTAAAAAATAATAATAATAATAAATAAAATATGTTATTACTTATAAAACAGTATAGGGATAATAGTGATACCCGAATAACAACATACATGTACAAATCGCATAACAACATTTTTGTTATAATTTATATAACAAAGTTCATAATTTTTCTGGGTTGCTTTTCTTCAAATCCAATTTAGTCATCAAAATTTCTATTTTTAGCAACTTCATTATCAATCAATATAATCAAAAGCAACATCAGTCACAGATGGCGAATAATATTTGATAACTTTTCATTTTGAGAGGGAGTGTTTTGCTAAAGCAGCTGTTACCACTGGCTGTGACAACTTTGGGATAGATATATGAAAAATTATTTTTTTATTTTTTTATTTTTTGCTAACAGAGTTTTATTGTAAAATAAGAAACCAATATAAAAAAATGTGGTATAAAAGGGGAAGAGAGGGGTGCGGGTGAGGAATACAGATGTGACTTACAGACTGTAGAAGGAAGGAACTGATCTTGCACATTTGCGGGAAGTAAAACAGATCTTGGAAGGAATGAAATCTTCCAGGGTATGGGATCGGGTGAGATCTCCTCTTAGGTAGTGAGGTTCACCAAGATGTTAGACAGGATTTGGCCAGACCAGCAGAGAAGGGACTTAGAAATTCCGTCCTCTTAACCAGCTGCGCAGTCCACCAACGGGTCTTTCTGAGGCGCACCTGAACCAAGCAGAGGTTGAAGCTCCTAAGCCCCCAAAAATGCCAGGAAAGGGGGACAAGGGTGGGGGTATCAACGGGGGACAGGAAGCAGGAGATGTCAGTCTGAGTCAGGTCCCTCTCTCTTGAACATGGGTTTTTTTACGGCGGGAGGTAGATTGTCCCTTTTCAGACTTCAGGTGGCTGGAGTGAGTCTTGCTTCCCCCTGGGTCCTTTCCAGCCTGGGCATCCTTTAGCTCTAAGGCTTCATTCAATTCTCGGAACATCTCAAAGCGCTCCCGCCCTCGGATCTGAAGTGTGAAGTATTCTCCATCCATTGGCATCTTTGGCGGGGGAGAGGAGTCAGTGTCGGTGGGCGGTGCTCGCTTCGTGCTCCCAGGGGGCTGCTTGGGACAAGGCTCCCCCTTCCTGCGGAAATTTTCTTCCTCTGTGCGCCGGTCTCTCCCAGGACAGGCGCAAATACGCACTTCAAAGCTGTTCCGTCCCAGCAGATTCCCATTGGGGTCCTCCAGCGTGATGATGGCGAGGATGGGCCGCCGGTTCATGCCCCCCAGGCAGGAGCTGTTACACATGAAGTTGTAGCGGACGGTGGTACAGTCCGAGCCCACCTCGGGCGGCTTATAGGGCACCACCACACTATGTCGAAACGTGATTTTGTCCTCCAAATACTGGGCACCCGAATTCCCTTCCACCCGGATGAGATGCTGAGGAGGGGCCAGGCCATCACTATAGTCAGAGCAGCGCTCATGGTGGGGGCAGCGCCTCACAACCTCTGTCATGTGCTCAGGCTTCTTGTAGATGGCCATGGCACGGACACGGGTGTCGAGCGGGGGTGGGGAGCTGACCCACAGCTGCACGGGGCAGGTCTTTGCCAGCTGGCAAAACAGCTTGTTGAGGGTAGGGGAGTACGTGCAGGTTGCAGACTTGGCTGTCCCAGAATTCAGGAATCCTAAACGGAAACCATAGGTACCGGGGTAGGTCTTCTGGGAAGGGACAAAGGATGACAGGGGCCAGGAGATGCCTGGTGCTAGGAGAGCAGCTGCTGGTGCAGGAGTTGCTGGTGTACTGGAGGCTTCATTTGGATCTTTGTCCAGACAGTTTGCAAGGCCTTGGGGCAGCAGCAGTTCATTCACTGTCTGGGAGACTGCGGGGGTCAGAACATTGTTTTCATGAAGTAGATTCCACAAGTCTGAAAATATCTCCTGACTCAGAGGGGGCTCCATGAGTTCTGACGGTGGCCCATCCATTGCAGCTCCCTGGAAGGCAGTGTGGCTGAACTTCAGGGGAGCGTATCACCACCCTGGGAAGCACCCTCCGAGGCCAGATGCCAGGTGATCCCAGAGGCTCAGGGGACACCTGTGTCCAGGACGGTGGCTTTGGACTTTTTTCTGAAAAAGTATTTCAAAATATAAATGTTAATGCATCTAGAGCTGATGATTTCTTGTGGAAAAAATTTTCTAAAAAGATTTAACTCTTCATACAAATCAGTTTTGTGTAAATCTAATTTTAAATATAAATTTATATAATAACATTTAATGTTTCCTCTGTCATTTCCTGTAATTTGCGGAGATGTACTATAGACAGATGCTTGTGTCCCACCCCTCATTCATATGTTGATGGTATTAGGAGGTAGGGTCTTGGGGAGGTGATTAGGTTTTGAGGGTGGAGATTAGTGCCCTTAAGAAAGAGACGGTGGCTTTCTGGCGGTGACGACCTCCCCACGACAATATGCCTCTCGCTAAGGATCTCCTTCATCCCTCTCCGGAAGAGGAGAAGAGGAAACACAAGAAGAAGCGCCTGGTGCAGAGCCCCAATTCCTACTTCATGGATGTGAAATGCCGAGGATGCTATAAAATCCCCACCGTCTTTAGCCCTGCACAAACGGCAGTTTTGTGTGTTGGTTGCTCCACTGTTCTCTGTCAGCCAACAGGAGGAAAAGCAAGGCTTACAGAAGGATGCTCCTTCAGAAGGAAGCAGCACTAAAAGCGCCTCCAATTAAGATGAGTGGGGAACCATCCCAATAAACACATTTTGGATACAAAAAAAGAAAAAAAAGAAAGAGACGGTGAAGAGCTCTTTCGCCTTCCACCACACAGCAAGAAGATGGCCATCTATGACCAGAAAGTGGGCTCTCACCAGACACGGAATCTGCCAGCACCTTGATCTTGGACTTCTCAGCCTCCAAAACTAGGAAAAATTAATTTTTGTTTATTAGCCACCCAATCCATGGCATTTTCATTATAGCAGCCCGAACAGATTAAGACAAGGTCATAAAAGAAATTTAAAAATGGCTTCATGATTTATTTATAATTCAAAATGCCTGTTTGTTCATTCTACCACTGCATCTTCAACTACAAGGAAAACACTTTTAAATTGTCTTCCTCATTAATAATCAGTTCATCCAACACTTTCATCTAATGTATCTAATGTGACAATCTTTAAATTTAATTTCCATTTCTAAACCTCTGGATATTTGCTTTACAATGTTGTACCAGTGTTCAAAACCAGAGATTCTGAACTCTTCCAATATTTCTAATAACCTTTTGATATATTTTACTGCAAAGTCCATGGGTACGCTTTAATTTTGTAGTAATTTACTGGCAAGGCTTGCTCCCTGATCACCAGCAATCGCTCTCCCAGTGCTCAGGCCAGAGTTACTATTTGTGCAGATGCTGCAGGATCAGACCCTGATAGCAGAAAGGCAAGAATACTTCTCACTATGGTCCTGTCACTGTTACCACCACTACTGCTTCTGCAACTGCTTCCACCACTGTCACTGACTCAGTGTCTCCCCTCCGGGCCCCATGGTACCCCATAATGCCCCAGATGCGCTTGTACATGCCAGACGGCCTGACCAACTGCTCAGCATGTGCGCCACTTGCCGTGTTCACGGGCTGTGCACACTGCCACCCAGTGTATCTCTTCTGCTCATGTGTATGCTCCATTGCCACATGGGACTACACTTACAAGACACAAATCCAAAGGTAAAATTATTAAGAATGTCAAGATGGCGACAGCAGAGCATTAAACTAAGCCTGAAGCCCCTCCTGGGAGCTGAGTCCTGCACAGGTGGCAGAACCCTAAAGCTGGCCCTGGAGGAGTGGGCTGGTGTTCTCAGCTACCTAGTTTAGCACCTGGGGGACCATCCTGAGAGTTTTTATTCCAAGTGAGTGTAAGCCCTATCTTGTTACTCTGATTCAAATCATGCGAAGAAACATTGATTACCTTCCCCCATTACATGGATCTTAGAGACACTAGTGGCTGTAAATCCACACCAGATACAGTGGTCACCTAGATCGCCAGAAGGCCCAGATTGGATACATACTGGCTAAGGGACCTTGAGCAAGTGATAGAAAGTCTCTATACTCAGCTTCCCTACCCATAAAATGGGGCTAGTACTAGTACCTATCTCAAAACGGCTGCTGCAAGGATTGAATGAGTTAATCCATGTGAAGAGTTTAGAGCAGTGGTGAGCACACAGTAAATTCTCAGATAATGTTATTTGTCATTATTCTGTCTTTTGTTTTCCCTGTCCTTTTACTTTCGAGTCTATTTTGGAGCAAGCCTGTTCTTTCTCATGTAATTCTTTCCCATGCTCCCCACCCCTTTCCTCGTGTATTTTATAGTTCACTTTAGCCCTCATCATTTTTTTCATCTCAACAATTACATGTACATGTATGCAGAGGTGAATCAGAAGAGAGTCCGCTGAGGTTCCCTCTAGGGAAGCAAGCAGGAACTGAGTGGTGGTCAGCAGGGATCTTCAGCCTGTTTGAATCTTTGCAATGGGAATGTATTTACTACTGCCTAATTACAAATAAGTGTTTACAACTGTTACGTGGAGGTGGGTAGGGGAGGGAGGTTTCCAGGACAGCCCCATGCTATGGCAGCCAATTCAGATCATGCACTGATGCTGTGAGAGGCACCAGAGCGCACACTTCCAGGGCAGCAGCCAGCTGCCTGCCATCCATGGGAATATCAAGAATTCTTTGTCAGCAAATTTAACTGCCTCAGATTCAGTCCCCTGACAGCTTTGCCTTCCCCATCATCTATCCTTCAGTACCCCCACCTCACCTCCTAAGAACACGGGGGAGGAACTTCTAGGGGTGGGTACCAACGTACCTGGGTCAAATTCCACCTCCTGAGAAGCCTTCCCTGACACACCCACTGAACATATTTGAATTAATTATGGCTCCATTTGTTCCCACACATGTTGTTCAAACCTCTAGTTAGCACTTAGAGTTTGACCTTTTTCAGCCTTGTTATTGTACATTGAACCTTGCCTCCTTCATTAGATTGTCCGTATATCCCTTTAGGATACACACACGGTCTCTCATTCATGTCTGGAGAACCCACCCAAAGCCCCACCTGTACTCCTCCCAGTCCATCACAAATGCTCAGAAGGTGTAACTGGGAGGGTGCCCTGAACTGGCCCTCCCACCACAATGGGTATTTTGCGCTTTTTATTTCTCCTGCCTTGCCCCTGGCCAACTCTTCTTGTCATTCAGGTCTCAGATCACGTCACCTTCAAGAGGCCTTCCTTAACCACCCTATCTAAAATAGACTATCTTTCATCCAAATCTTTCTCTCATAATGTGTTTTATTTTCTTCATAGCACTCTCTGCAATCTGAAATTCTCTTATTTGCCTCACTTTATTGTCTGTCTCCGTCACTGGAATGTGAATCGCAGGAGGGCAGGGACCTTTTCTTTTTTGTTTACCCTTGAATCCCCAGTGTCTAGAACAGTGCCTGGTATATAGTAGGTGCTCAATAAATATACGAATGAAACTGTATTTATTTACTGACTGACCCCCCAGCAGAATGTCAGCTCCATGAAGGCCCGGACCTTATGTGCGTTACTGCTACATCCTCAGCACCTAGCACCATGCCTGGTGCACAGTAAATGCCCAACAAAGAATTGTTGGGTGAGTTACTGTTCCACACATACCTTAACTCCACATATTCCAAACTAAACTTAGTCTCTTCTTCCTTACCAAACCTGCTTTTCCTTGTGTACTCCAGCTCAATCACCATCCACTCTGACACCCAATCCAGAAATGAACACACAGTCTTCACTCATTCACCCACTATTTTCAATCAGTCCCCAAGCCCTGCCTAGTCAACCTCCAAAATATCCCACTTATCTGATCCTTTTCTACCCCTGCTACAACTATCCTGACTCGGGCGTCATCTTTTTTTCATGACTAATGCCACAGTCTCTTACCTCTATGCCTCCTTCTTTTTGAAAATGTTGTGAATTTGCACATCATCCTTGTGTAGGGGCCATGCTAATCTCTTCTGTGTCTTTCCAATTTAATACACGTGCTGCTGAAGTGGGCATCCTCCTGCCTCCTTGTGAAGCTAAGAAAGCTTTCTTAATAAGCTTGCCATATGGTTACATGGTCATGTTTTATAAAGTTTGTAAAATAAATTTAAACCACAATTGGTTAAAACTACTGTCCCTTCTTACTGAGAGTTTCCCTGGTCACATTTCCCCTTGTATCAGGTGGTGTTGGAGCTGCCTCAGACATTTTTGAGATCCAGATAAGTGGAAGTTGATTTGGGGCACACATTTGGTTTGGGTTTAGTGGGACATTTATATGTGGCCGTTATAACTTGTATTTATAGTTATTACCCAGGAATGGCTTCTAGAAATATTCATACTGTCTACCCTTTGAACCTAATTTTGTATTAACAAGCGTATATTCTTTTCTTTAAGAAGTTCCACCTCGCAAACTCTGTAAGCTTCAGGTGCCACTAAACCTTGATTTTCCTCTGGCTATGACACAAATGTAACTCAGCTGTTCTTGCTCAGAGACCTTTAGTGGTTTGTTATTGCTTGCAGGATAAAATCTAATAATCATTTTTCAACTGTTTCCCCAGGTGTCTCCATGCATTTGTATTTGTTGATCCTTTTATCTGCAATGTTAATTTAGTGAAATTTTATGTATCCTCCAAGTCTCCCTGAAATCTTCCTTGACAGCAGCAAGCAGCTGCTGAGGCACTTTCTTAGCTTTATTTTGCAATTTGCAAGAGGTATCTGTGTGCTTACTGGACGTTTATTCCAATTGTTGACTTGCAAGCTTGTCTCCTGGTCTGGCAATTTCTCACTGCACAGTCCCTCTTTCCATCATTGTACCCCCAGGGCCTAACCCACTATCACTTAGAAAACAGGTGTGCACACACCCACTTTCTTTTTTAAAGCATGGGACCCTTTGAGAAAATGAAATAATAAGAGGATTCCTGGAGAACATTTAAAAATGCCTGAGAAAACCAGCGCCATCTTGAAGCAGGTGTGTGGAGCTCCATTCATTCAATCTCTTCTCCCACCTAGCCCTCAGGCTGGAGTCAGAAAATCG